TTAGTAAGTTTTAATGGTCGTCTTGCAAAATGGAGTGATATAAATCACTTCTATGAGCAAGACGGCCAACAAACTATTAGGTGTGCGCCTAAGATAACTTCGACTCATCTAAGGCCTACAACTTTTTAGAAAATGAGTGTGCATTTAGCTACACAGGTTTTCAGCAACACGGTTGCTAAAGCAATGTTCGCATTATATAGCTCTGGGAATTTGAATATATCTAAGTCTCCAACTTTCTTTAATACCGCCGAATTTGTTCTTTTTCTTTTTCTTTCAAAGTTTTCCAAGGCCGCCAAGAAGCACTTCAAAATATTGAAATCGCGGAAATTGATTTAAATTAAAACTTTTTCTTGAAGCAAAATTCGTTCGTTTATTTTTACGGCTATATGTATTCAAAGTTTTTAAAACTTCATAATTGTATGAGTCCTATACCTCGCCTTGAAGATGCAACTGATTCTCGTTTTCTCTTTTCAATGGAAAAAGAATATTACGACTACAGTCTGGTGAAACCCCCTTCGAACTAAACTTTCTCGAAAAATTAGAGGAAATATTTTGCAGCAATTTTGATTCTTGCTGTCATTTTCGAGGGTTTTCAAAATTTATATTTGAACAAATGCAACACATAGAGCCATTTTAATGCTGTGAGAATTCCCAGTCAGACGTTCTTATATCCCTTTTTATTAGAATAAGAACGTACTTTTCTATTAAAATGTTTAATAAACAGACAAGCACACATGCTTTCAAGCATGTGAAATTTTTATGTGTTGCACACATGTAAAATTTGTCTGAAGTCCTTTGTCCGGGTGTCTACCTGTAAAAAATCTTCATTTGTTTTCCTGATTACAACGTGATAGAAATTTTCACATTCTGAAGTGCTCAATTAATTATTAAGATAGGAATGCACATATATTCTTGTTATTAGGCACATTTCGCCCTTTTCATTTATAGGTCCTACCCCACCATCATTTTGAATTTTCTCAGGGTTTTTGTTAGATCTCCACTGTTTTCAATGCATGCACATAAAATGTATTTATATAAATATTATTGTAAAATTAATTTTTTTAATGTTTTGGTTTATTTATTTATTTTTAATAATTTTGTTATTTAGTTTTAACGTATATGGATGAAAATAGGCCTCCTGGGGAACCGAACACCCAAAAAAATCGGGAACGCGCCTAGTTTCATACCTCATGGTGGTGTGGAAAATGCAATATAGATATTAGGAAATGTACAAAAATCTAACGAAATAAAACATATTATTTATATATATTATACAGAAAAAATCATGTTTTTATTTAAACAAAGTATTTATATTATCAGGTTAGATTTTTAAATTGTTTCAATGAATGCAAATAGAGGTGTTGCAAATGAAGAAATTGCCCATGATTCTAACTTTTGTTGGTGGTGAGCACTATATACTGGCCACATATTTGCTTTGGAAACAATTAGATGCACACTAAAACATTTACTCTGATAAAAGCAATTTGATCGTAGGAGTATGGTAATTGACATATAAAAAAATTTTGTATCATTTAAAACGTAATGTCACTTTCACTTTCCAAATCGTTGTCATACATAAATCAGTTTCTAAACTTAAATCACTCAATAGAATTTAAGTACGCAATCTAAAGCATATATGTAATGTAAATTTCATCCCAAAGACAACAAAACTTTTTATAAGATCCTTCCAAAACGGTATAAATATCATGCACATTGTGGGCGGGTTAAAATAGGTTTATTATTTTCTACTAGTTTCCTCTGGAAAAAAATAATTTTAGTTATTATTTATTATTCTTTATATGCACTAATACACACCTGCTTATTGATAAAAATTCTTGTGTGCACAGTTTTATCAAGAGCATTATTTAATATATTTAATAATGTTCGTTATTTTACGAAGGTTGTTTTGCAAATTTATAAACCTTGCTCTCAGTTTCGTTGAATAAGCATTTTCTGCATCACGTTATTTGACATGGTTGCTTAATTGCACCTTAAATTTTTTCTGTGGCGAATATTTATTAATTTACCACAGATAAAAAAAGGCATAAATATATATTGTTATTATTCTAGAATTTGCCAATAATAGCCGCTCCTTTAGGAACATATATTAAAATAAACTGATTTTATTTTGAAAACATATTAAAGTTTTACAAAAAACCAATATTTTTGGACAACTTTTTCATAAATTAAAGGAAAATAACAAGATGCAACAATTTTCCGGTTAAAAGTCGGCCAACTTGGCTGTCAATAGAAACTCAACCCCTATCAATTGATTCTTTCTCTACTCCCCCTTTACTTCTACTGGATATCCATATGTATATTGTACATATACAAGTATATTGATATCTTCAGACTTAGTTTTGAACGACTATTTCGGTCTTTTCGTTTCTGCAAAATCAAAGCTCAAACTGCTTAAATTTAAAGCTCTTTTTAATAAAACGCTTATTTTAGAGATCAGGGTATATTTATTGATTTAAAATTTATTTAATGTTCTTTTGTATACTAAACTACAATACATCGCACTGTTCATTGCAAAAAGGAACGAAAAAGCTCTTAGCCTGGTGAAAGATATAAGTAAGGTTTCAAATATTCCAAGTATAACCCGTTATTTGGGGTTTGTTTCATATCCAATGATTAAATGATATTGATTTTGCCCCTTTTCTACAAATATATGTTTATATGGTATACATTAAGATATGCTAGCCAACTTGATAAGTATAATAACACTTACTTCAGCTTAATTTGTTAGTTTGCTTTCCGCCATATTACAGCTAACTCCCAAATTTTTATTCTACCTTTCTCTATTAACAGAAGCCTTTCTCATCTTTAAGTAGAAAAAATAGTAATGTTAATAAAATTTGTTTGCTATTTAATAATATTATATTTTCTATTGATTGGATTTATGTAAAAACCCCTTATAAATTTTTATCAAAGTGTAAGCATTCAAGTATTGATAAAAGCCAGTGTCTGAGCCAGTTCATACACAGACTCTTTTGTAACCCAAACCGGTATATTGTGGGCGAGGAGACGACGAGGAAAGACGAAGGGACTCGTGCTCGGGTGGGTCGCTTTGTGTTCTTGTTCGTATAAGCTTGTTGCTACCCTTTTCAGCATTTCTTTTAATTTTCAAATTCTTTTCATGGTTGCAATTGCGCTCGGTTTCAAATTAATATATACCATTCGTTCAGAAATTTAAATTCTATTTTTTTTTTTTGTATGTATTATGCAAGTATATATTCATAGAATAATAGAAATATTTTGAAAAATTTTAAATAAGCAGAAAATTAAGATACTCAAACATATTCAATTTAAATTTTTAATAACATATAGTGGTATTAAATGTAATAATATACGAGTATACGTAATAGAATTCTAATAAAAATTATAACTTAACTTTATTTACATAAATTTCAAGATGCTTTCATATTTATTTCTTTTAACCGCAAAGGATTTAGTTCGAATATTATTTTATTTAAAACAAGAATTGTAATTAATTCAAGGTTGTTTTAGAATAAATTGAAAAAAATACGGAGTAAAAAAATTATGGATTTTTAATACTTCCCAAAAGATTGGGAAATTCCTGTTATAAATTTTGCCTTGAAAATATTAGTAGCGGGTATTCAATACATTCTAGTGGATTAGTGAATTCCCAACTTGAGTATTTCTTTGAAACTATTAAGCGAGTGTTATGTATTGTTCTACCACATTCATGGTAATTTCTTGAAAGCAAAATGCGAGAGCACCACATATAACTAAAATATGGAACAGTCCGTTCCCACGACAGTCGGGTCTACGTAACCGGAACAGACCCGGATTTATTCCGGCAAAGGACTGTCACATCGGCAGAATTCTGCCGCTACAACAACAAAATATGGAACACACTCTAATTGTCGCGTAGCCGAAGCGCCCAAACATTTGCGAAAATTTTATGAAAAGGAATGACAGAAAAACTCGATTTGAGTTGCTGGACTCTGTTGCTCGTGTGAACGTACAGAGCGACACAAAAAGAGAAATCGCCGATAATGATCGAAAGAGTTCCCATGTTAACTCAGTATATTTAGTTTTAATAACTAACTTGGGCACACTTATATAAATGAACTTAGTTTTCCTTACTACTTGTTCATCCGGCTCGGGGCTCACAAATTTCCTGGTGTTCTTCGTGGTCGTTGTGTTCTTGTATCTTGATCGTGAAATTATTGGTGTAAGTATAAATTTAATTAAATTCTCTAAATAAAATTCACGGAAATTACCTAAAACTGTTTGAAAAATTTTGTAGGTATTTAAATTTGTACAAAGTCATAGTATGTGTGAGTAATAACATAAGAAATGTAAAAGTGATTTCATAACCTAAAAAAGAGAGTGCGTATGCACCGACACAATTTATAATTTGCTTGACTGATACATATATGGCGTGACGGCGGTAAACTACAAATTTGTTTCTCTTGTTTTATATCCATAGTGGTCCACCTTTTTGAGCTAAGAAAAATCTTATTCGCCTCCATTCCATTATTACTAGTATTCCTTATAAATAAATGGTATGTGCTTACATTATTTACTGATTATTATTTGTACAATAGAAATATGGAATTAAAATTTATCAAACAGGGATTGGATAAATGTACCATTAAGAGGAAATATAAAACGTTCACCGGCATGTTATTAATGACGAAATGGAAAGTTACATATACAATTTGACTAGAGTGGTGAATATGCTATTTTCTCTTGTTACGTAACGAACAGAAAGGTTGCAAAGTTTTTTCATTCGTTTGCTTTTTGATACTAAGAGTTTACAGATTTAATATTTTATTGTCGAAAAATATGATAATAGAGAAAGGAAAGTTACGGAACGAAAACTTGACGTGAGTTTGCTTTGTAAATGTAGAAATCATGTGAATAATTATGTTAGGTCAATGAAGATAAATACATATGTACATAAATGAAAACTCTCAACTATATTTTATTATTGGTGTCACCACTTTTTCAATATACGGTTGTGCATATTCGAGTATACATTTTGCTTTATTTGGATGTGTTCAGTATTACTTTCATATGTACTAGTGGTTACTGAAAGAAGGCTTAAATATGAAATCACATGAGTTTAAAAAATTTTGTGAACAATGAATTACAGTATGCATGAAAATATAAATCAATATTCTATTTGTGAAATAATTCTTCAAAAATAATATTTGGTTAAAGAGCATACAAATATTGATATTGCTTTAAACATAGGTAGATAAATAAACCTTGTCCGTTCCCACGACAGTCGGATCTACGTAACCGGAACGGACCCGGATTTATATCGGCAAAGGACTGCCAACTCGGCAGAATTCTTCTGCTACAACAACAACAACTAAACCTTGTCACAAAATTCGGGTCTACTTAATCGAAATGGATCACGATTTGTACCGGGTAAAGTACTGTCAACTTGGTCGCAATGTTTTCGGTGGCTGCAAAAACAATAATCATTTAATTTTAGGTACAACATTTGTACACAGCTGTTTTTAGGTATATACATGAAAAATGTCCTCTCACGTTTCCATGCAGCAAAAGCCAAATTTGTTACATCATCATAAGAAAAAGTTAAATATTTCAATGGCTGGTGTAGCTTTGTGGTTTTAGCTACGTTTCGTAGAATATCGTTTGCCCTTCTTTGGCAATTTTTTGAATCTTTATATACACATAGCCAATAAAGTCTGCGTTCACCGGACACTTTTTTAAGTTAAGTTAAAACACAATGTAAATGGGTAATTCAGTTCAAATTTTTTACATGTATTTCTTTTTTATATTCTTAAGTTCAAAATGCAAAAACAACTATGTATACTCCTATTTTAATTTTTGAGATAACACTATTTTAGTGTAAGAACAAGTAAAAGTAGGCACAACCAAGTCTGCGTTCAGTTAGTTTGAATTGGAAATACCGTTACTTCTCATGAATTTGTTTCTTTTTTTGCGTGGATTCTGTTATGTTTTAATAAAATTAATCGTTTAATGAGCTCGTGACGCGTTTTAATTAAAACAAAAAAATGTCGGAAAGAAAAATTATCATTAAGTTGTGGAAAGATGGCGAAAGTTTCAGAAAAATTGGGAAAACTATTGGAAGAACGTATTCTTCCGTCCAGCGCGTCGTAAAAAATTTAAAAAAACCGGAATTTTAACGTCAAAACCGCGGCCGTACAAAAATATTGGGTGCGTTCGAGAAAATTTGTCAAAGTATCACGTTCTGCGTGAATTTTTGGCAACACTTGCAACAGCATCACGTTCTGCTGTCATTTTTTGCACGCAATTTATGCAAATAATCGACAACACTAAATTTTTGTCTACACATCAGCAGAGTATCAGAAAATATGCAACACAGTAGCTGTACTTTTGCAATTATTTCGTAGCTCGAACGAACCCATTTTTAGCCCGGGAAGAACGGTAAATAATAAATATGATGCAAGTTAACCCACGAATTACGTTCACAAAGAGTATTGAAAACTGTGTGTCGCAACTGCTAGAAAAATTTTACGAAAAGCTAGATATCATAGCAGAGTCGCTCGAAAGAAACCATATATTTCACTTGTAAACAGACGAAAGCGCATTGAGCTTGCTAGAATTATATAAATTCGTCGGAATTCTGGAGAAACTAATATTTTCGGATAAAAGTAAATTTTGCATTTGTCAAAATATCACATTCTGCGTGAATTTTTGTCGACACTTGCAACAGCATTACGTTCTAATGTCCCTTTCGCACGCAATTTATGCAAATAATCGGCAACACTAAATTTTTGTCTATACGTCAGCAAATATGCAACACAGTAGCTGTACTTCTGCAATTGTTACCTAGCTGATGCGTTCGAGCATTTATTTTTTTTTTCTAATTAGCAACACCCATTATTTCAGCTTTTAAATTAGGATTGATGTTTATCAATATTTTTGTATTCACTTTTTGATTTGTCTCCAGTTTCCATATTTTAGTTGATCCAAGTTTATAACCAGTTTTATATTTGTATTTAATGCATCTTGAAATATTACTATTTCATATTTATAATATTTTAAACATTTATGCATACTATTGTATTTGTTTAATAATAAATTCGAGTGTACAGACCTATTTGTGCACTTTTATAAAATATTTACTTTGTCTACACGAGTCTAATCAATCAATAATTTGACGAAGAATTTTTAATCACTCAAAATTTAGCCTTAAAAACGTACGCATATATTTTACCTTACATATTAAAAAAAAATTAAATACACAATTATCTTCAAAAAAATCTTACAACAGTAATAAATTGACTTAAGCATTTATTTGCAGATGGCTCCTCCATCATATCCTGATCTCGGCAAACAAGCCCGCGATGTCTTCAGCAAAGGTTACCACTTTGGTCTATGGAAGTTGGATTGTAAGACGAAAACCCCCTCTGGTATTGAATTCAACACAGCCGGTCATTCCAACCAGGAGTCTGGAAAAGTCTTCGGATCACTGGAGACAAAATATAAGGTTAAGGATTATGGTTTAAGCTTAACCGAAAAATGGAACACAGATAACACCTTGTTCACCGAAGTGTCTGTCCAAGATAAGTTGTTGGAAGGTTTAAAGTTGGCATTCGAAGCTACTTTCGCTCCTCAATCAGGGTGAGACTACTTAAAAATTAAAAATTTTGTTTTCATAATGTTTGTTTTTGTTCGTTTTCAGCAATAAAACTGGAAAATTTAAAGCTGCCTATGGTCACGAAAATGTGAAGGTGGACTCGGATGTGAATGTAGACCTAAATGGTCCACTCATCAATGCTTCAGCTGTATTGGGTTATGAAGGCTGGTTGGCTGGTTACCAGACTGCTTTCGATACCCAAAACAATTCATTGAAAACCAACAATTTTGCCTTGGGCTATGCTGCAAAGGACTTTGTGCTGCATACAGCTGTGTATGTAATAAGTTTTATGCTCTGAAAGCAAGATTTTAATATTTCTATATATACAGCAATGATGGCCAAGAGTTTACCGGCTCAATTTTCCAGAAATGTACTCCAAAACTCGATGTTGCCGTTCAATTATCTTGGACATCTGGTGGTAACAATACCAAGTTTGGTCTTGGTGGCAAGTACCTTATCGACGATGATATTAGTGTCCGTGCGAAGGTGAACAACGCTAGCCAAGTTGGTTTGGGTTACCAACAACGGGTACGTGATGGTATTACAGTTAGTCTCTCCGCTTTGATTGATGGCAAAAACTTCAATGCCGGCGGTCACAAGATTGGTGTTGCTTTGGAGCTGGAAGCTTAAAAGTATCATAATTTTAAAAACGATAAAACAGTTACCCATTAAATTATAACAGAATCCCAACAAGAAATAAAGAACATAGAAATAAATTATTTCATGTTTAGCCAGTAAAAACAATATAGCAGTTAATCCAAATAAATGGGATTTTAATTAAAGTTACAAACACATACACACAATTTTGAAGCTCATAATTTAAAACTATTTATATTATTTGTTTAAGTTTTTCGTCCTTAAACGCGGTTATTTAGTAATTTTCTGTTAAATTATATATTATCGCCCAACGCAGCTATCGTATAAAGTTAATATGTAGTTATGCCAATAATGTGCATTTAATTCAGAAAAGTGTATTATAAAAGTTTAAATTCATATTACGATATATACAATTTTATCAGCATTACATTGATATGGTACATAATTTAATTTTATTTTTTATGTGTAATATGTATGTATCTACCCAATCATAGACAAGAGGGCACATGAAATGAACGCCATCTTAACTGTTCCAACGACAGTCGACTCTACGGACTCCGGAATTTTATCCGGCCGTGGACTGGAAGCATTACTCAAAATTATCAGGAGTTTTTTAGAATCTGATAGTTGTCGGAATCAGAATTGAAACTGATAAAAAATAAGGGTAAATGTATAGTTTAGCTCCCCCAACAAAGGAGGTCCCAAAAGTTGATTTTTGTTTTTAAATCGCCTTGTTTTGACGCGAAGATTGCAAATTCGAAATTTTTCTATTCTCTTCTACCCTTTAAAAAACATTTTTGGGAATTTTTAAAAATTTTTTTATCAAACCTAAAACAAAATGAATTTTTCAAAAAACCTGTTTTTTTTTATTTTCAAATAGCCATAACTTTTTAGGCATCGACTTTTGGGTTTAATAAAAAAAAATTCTCAAAAATGTTTTTTAAAAGAGTAGAAGAGAATAGAAAAATTTCGGCGAAATCCAAAGGGGTCGGATTTAAAAGTGGTCGATTTGGCGTCGAATGCCCCATACATATATATAAATATATTTAACAATTGCACATATTTTTGAAGCAGCTTAGTTGTTAGACATGCAGCTACAAGGGTGACATCAGAGACCTCAAAACTCCTGAACTCACTCAACTTTCATAGTTCATGCTGGACTGACCTTTAGCAATTGGAAAAAGAGGGACGGTCAGATTGGAATCCTACCGAAAAAAAATTTGAATAGAGAGATTTGTTACCGCTGTTGAAGATCACTAACAAAAATTGGTAAACAATAAACATTTAAGAAAACGCGCGAATAATGCATAGTAGTATCAATTTTCAATTGAAAATTATAATAAACATTTATTAATTGAGAGCTAATACATTATTCTTCAGTTTTAATATATCACAAAAAAGATTTAAATAGTTTCTCCATGTGTTTAACGAATATAGGGTCGGCTTTAGTATACCATCCCACGATTTCATGGTTAAAAGGGGTATGGTTGGGTAAAAGAGATTCCAGATATATAATTATAGCCGCTGGAAACTTATAGTTTTCGAGATATTTGCATTTTATGTTGAAAGTTTAAAAAATTTTATCTCAATTTTTCTATTTATAGTAATTTTTTCTTTTATATTATGCACTTATTTTACACTTACACTTCACTACATTGTAGTGTATATTATATATATATATATATTTTGCAAATGAATTAAAATGAATAATAGAGAATTAACCCATACATTACCATACGTACCGATACATTAACCATAATTTTGTTCGTTGGTATTGGATTGGCCAGTGTTATTTTTTTGAAGTGCGGCCAAAGGCCGCCAATGCAGAAAGAAGTTGGACGCGAAAGGAATAACGACCACCCCGGTGTTGCATCTGCCAGGGTTATTTTTTTGAAGCGCGGTCGAAGGCCCCCAATGCAAATAGGAAATCTAACAAAAAAAAAGTAGTGTTAAAGAGGGTATATCACTCTCTTTAAACTTTATTTTCTATAACGGATATTGTTACAACTAAACAAGGTACAGTTTCTTTTTTTGTCCGTTTTGTCATTGAATTGGTACATATTGTGCATACAAGTTAATTTTGTAGAGGGTAATTGGGTATTTTATTTATTTTGATTACTTTCATTCGTTTGGATATGGCAACACTTATTATCTGTCAATATGGAACCCATTTGTTATTGTGCATATAACAAAAATTGCGTAAAAATAAAATGCTTATTCCAATCTCCTCTATCCAACCATACCCCTCTTAACCCTGAAATCGTGGCATGGTATACTAAAGCTTCCCCCGAATATATCTACTTATATAAATTTATAATGTTAATAAATGTTGGGTGATTTAATTTAAGTCCCAAAATTTTTTATTTTAACTAATCTAGCTACCATAGATACTAGCAACTCTTTGATTCGAGAGAGAGCTGTTATAACCCACATTTTTTTTATAACATTTGTCAATCATGCAATTGTCGAGAGAAAATGGATTGGGCATTTTAAAAATAACTTTTGGGCATTTTACATTTCGATATTAGTTTAAGGTCTTCGGTTCCCGAGTAGACCTATATCGGAAATATACATCCTTAAATACGTTGTTGTTGTTATAACGGTTACCTAATCCCCGTTTGGGTGATAAATTCTAGATTCGTTGTTGTCGAGGTCATCTAACGGAAGGCCCAGGAAACGAGCTGTTTCGACGGGGTCGGACCATAGGGAGAGGGGTGTTAGATGAGTGGGGTTTGTTGGGCATGCAAAGAGGTGGTTAGTGTCATGCGGAGACTCATTGCATGCAGGACATGTGTTTGGTATGTCAGGGTCTATTCTGGATAGGTAGGAGTTTAACCTGCTACAGTATCCAGAACGAAGTTGCGCGAGGGTCACTCTGGTTTCGCGGGGCAACTCGAGCTTTATGTCTGCTATGGGTGGTGGTTTGACTCCTATTACGCCATTCACTGAGAGGGAGTCTGTGAAGGTGTTGATGGCTCCACTGTGAATGGCGGTCAGTGCCTGTCTGAAGTTCGTTGCGTCCGGTCGGCGTACTGTCTAATGTCGTCGACGTAGTCAAGGAAAGATCTCTTGATGTTCCTAGGAGGCGGCTCCGCTACAGTCAGGCGACTACAGGGGTGGTTTCTACGAAAACACCCCAGTAGAAACTGCTTGGAGAGGAGTTCGTTGTGTTCCTTAACCGGAAGCATACGGGCCTCACTATGTAGGTGTTCGATTGGAGACATCAAGAGGCATCCCGTGATAGTTCGGAGTGCAGTGTTCTGACAGGTCGGAAGCTTCTTCTTCTGCGTGTCACTGCATCCAGGCGACCATATTGGGGCTGCGTAATTTAGGACCGGCCGGCCGATTGCCTTGTATGTTGCCAACAACGTTTCTTTGTCTTTTCCCCAAGAGCTGCCGGCAAGCGACTTGAGGATTTTGTTGCGGCTCTGTACTTTGGCAGTTATCGCGGTCGCGTGAGGAGTGAAAGAGCACAGACTGTCCAAAGTGACGCCTAAAATTTTAGGACTATTTACTGTCGGAATTTTTGTGCCATCGACTGAAATATTCAGGTCCAGTCTGTACTCCTTCGTCCAATTTGTGAAGATGGTCGCTGTGGATTTGGTTGGGGAGAGTGTTAGGTTCCTTGCAGAGAAGAAGCGAGAAAGATCGGAGAGGTAGCCGTTTACTTGAACACATGCCATCGATTCCATTGCCCGACGTCAATATCGTACAGTCATCAGCGTACGAGGTCATTGAAATTCCCGCTGGTGGCTGGGGGAGTTTTGAAATATAGAAATTAAACAGTAGCGGGGAGAGGACACCGCCCTGCGGAACCCTCTGTTTAATTTTCCTGAGTTTGGAGTTTTGACCTCGAAACAGTACGGATGAATGCCGACCGCTCAGGTAGTTCATAGTCCACCGCTTCAGCCCTGGAGGGAGCGTTGATTGTTCTAGGTCAAGTAGCGTTGTGTGATTGACTGTGTCAAAAGCTTTTGACAAGTCCAACGCTACGAGGATCGTCCTCTCGCAGAGTGGCTTCTGGTTCAGGCCATGAACTATCTGGGCGTTTATGACGCTAAGTGCTGTGGTGGTACTTTGCTCTTTACGGAAGCCATGCTGATGATCTGCTAGGCTCAGGTGGTGAGTGAATGACGGGAGTAACAAGGCCTCAAGTGTCTTCACTACTGCGGAAAGGAGAGTTATCGGGCGATAAGACTCCCCTTTGTTGGCGGGTTTCCCAGGTTTCAGCAGTGGGACCACTCTTTCGACTTTCCACACATCGGGTATTTGAAGAGTTGATATCGACAGGTTGAGGACCTTGGTGAGGTAGTTTACTCCCGTTGGGCCTAGGTGTTTTAACATCAGCATGCTTATTCCATCAGGGCCGATGGATTTAGACGATTTTGCCTTTTTGATGACACTCTGAACCTCCCCATTGGTGAAAGTAAGTGGTGCGCAGTCTTTTGGCATTTTGCGCAGCCGTCGGGTAACACGTCGTTTGGCCCTGTCGGTCGAAGGGTGCAGTATAAACTGCCGGCAAAAGTAGCTCGCGCACTTCTTCGGGTCCGAGGAGGCATGACCGATCGTCATGTCTCCTCGGATTTGACAGAAGTCCAAAGCTTACTCACACCGGTGGAGAGGTTGCAGGACTTCAGGTGCTCTATCCATTTTGTCCGATTATGATGATTTACCATTTGCCGAATCTCCAAATTGAGATCCCTTATTCGGGGATCACAGGGATCGGCATGGCGTAAGGTGTCGCGCTCGTCTGCTAATACTGCTGCTTCGGCTGGGAAATTTGGGCGGAGTTCCGCAATTCTTCCAGCCGTTATGAAGCGAGCAGTAGCAGCAGCGATCACCTTGCGGAATTGACGCTCGCCAACGATGACGTCCGTAGGAATGGGTAGTGCGTTGAAGGTGCTCTCAGTAAATTCTGTGAAGCCGACCCAGCTAGCTTTGTTAAAGTTAACAAAAGTGCGGTTGTTCACAGAAATAAAGTCATGAGGTTTCTCGGTCGAGATAATTATGGGCAGATGGTCTGATGCGAGAGTTAGATAAGTCGCCAGGTTATACTATTTATCAGACCACCGCTAGCGATGGTAATATTTGGCGAGCTATTACAGGTGCCCATAATTCTGGTGGGGGCTTCGTCAATCATTGTGCAGAATGTCGAATCGTCTATCTGTTCCGCCAGCTCCATCCCCCTACGATCGTTTGACAGGCAGGAATGCCAAAGATCGTGATGCGCGTTAAAGTCGCCTAGCACCAAACGGTTTTCACCACGACGTAGCGCATCTATATTCGGGTGATATCCTGTTGGACAACATGTAACTGGGGGGATGTATATATTAAATATTTCGAGCTCGACATCACCTGACCGGACAGCTATACCCTGACATTCTAGGGTGGTGTCCCTGCGGTCGATGTCAATATCGATTAGACGAT